CACGGGTTCTCTGGAACAGCAGGGAACCTCGGATTGGGTGGAGCTGGAGAAAGAACCCACAGGTACTTTCCCCACCCACCTCTGGACAGAACGGAGGCAAGGGCACAAGTTAAGCTCTTTTTTCTTTTTGTTTTTTTAAATGTTTTATATTTAGATAATTTTAGAATTTATAGAAAAGTTGCAGAACTAAGTCTTTGCTACCTGGAGCAAATTATTGCCTTTTTAGTATTAAAAAGTTAAAGACACAAAAAGGACTACTATTTTAAATATATATATTTTTATTGATTTCGGAGAGGAAGGGAGAGGGAGAGAGAGAGAGAGACATCAGTGATGAACCACCCGGTGCATATGGTAGGCCTGCCTGGTGTCCCTCACCAAGGCCTCCCGAGCACAAATTCATTTCCGCCGTGATAGGCACAATGCGTTCCCAGCGGCATGGTAAAAAATTAACCCGGAAACTAGGTCACATAAAACTTACTGAAAATGAAAAACAAAACACACACACATTAATGATGAGAGAGAATCATTGATTGGCTGCCTCCTGTGCTGCATGCCCCACACTGGGGATCAAGCCTGCAACTCGAATATGCCCTGAACTCCTGATTCATAGGTTGACGCTCAGTCACTGAGCCATGCTAGCCAGGCAGGACTACCATTTTGTTTTTAGGCATAAGTTTATATTCTCAGCTGTGAACTGACTGCTGTATATGGTAACCACATTTGTCAAAATCCCACATTGAGAAAGCTTAACAAAAGATTTCTTAAACTGATTCAAATGAGAGCGGGGAATCTTATAAAATCTAACTCACATTAAGGTTTATATTTAATGGCTCATGTTTATTGAAAATAATAAAAAGGCATCGAGGCCCAACCAGTGTTGCTCAGTGATTAAACATCGACCTATGAACCATGAGGTCACAGTTCGATTCCCGGTCAGGGCATGTGCCCGGGTGGCGGGCTTGTTCCCCATTATGGGGTGTGCAGGAGGCAGCTGATCAATGACACTGACATCATTGATGTTTTGATATCTCTCTCTCTCTCTCTCTCTCTCTCTCTCTCTCTCTCTCTCTCTCTCTCCTTCTCCCTCCCTCACTCCCTCCCTCCCTCCCTCCCTCCCTCCTTCTCTCTCCTCCTCTCTCTCCTTTCCCCTCCCTCCCTCTCCCTCTCCCTCTCTCTCCCTCCCTTCCTCTCTGAAGTCAATAAAAATATAAATAAATTTTAAAAAGCTGGCCACAGGAAAAGGAGATTTCCCAAACAGACCTTCTGTTTCCTCCCTGGGTCTGGGCCAGGGCTTGTCTGACTAGACCTGAGCAGGGAAGTGCTTGTTCTTAAGCTCTGGTTTCTCTCTGCTCCTGGACCTGCAGGTTTGGCCCCTACTACACTGAGCCCGTCATCGCTGGGTTGGACCCGAAGACCTTCAAGCCCTTCATTTGCTCTCTGGACCTCATCGGCTGCCCCATGGTGACTGACGACTTTGTGGTCAGCGGCACTTGTGCCGAACAGATGTATGGGATGTGCGAGTCCCTCTGGGAGCCCGACATGGTGAGTTGATGGCAGGAAGTGGGGCTGGGACCTGAAGCTCCCTCCTCTCCTGGACCATCGGGGAAATGTGTTTACCTTGCAGATATTGGGGAAATGGTGTGGGTAGGGGGAAAGCCACAGCTGCTGAGCCAGAAACTCCATCCGCCAGGTGTGGCCTCGCTGGCTCCAGGGACCCCAATCAGATATTTGCTACAAGTAATTCCTCACATTGAATTTTCAGGGTTCTCACTGTCATTCATTTAACAAACATTTAACAAAATGTGAAGTGTAGGTTTAGAGGCAGTTCAACAGAATGGGTGCTGGGTTGGAATATCAGCTCCACCAACCACTTAACTAGTTCTCTTCTTGGGTAATTTATTTCTCTGCCTCCGTCTCCTCCGCTGTAAAATGGGGGTGATACATGGAGGTGTGAGGAAAACACGAGAGGATTGGAACAGGCCTGGCAGTGAGGGTGTCCGCTGGGCCAGCTTGGTCAGACTCTGGGGAACCAGGTAGTCTGTCTGCAGAGGCTCACCGCAGTCTAATGAAGCAAAGCAGACACCCAAATACTTGTTAAACCGAGTATTAGGAAGAGGGGGAGGAAAGGGCCTGGTTGGCAGAAGGAACAGCTAGTGCAAAGGTGCGGGAGAGCTCGCTGTGGCTGCTGAGTGTGAGTGGGATGTGGGGTGAGTGGATGAACGAGAGTGAGGTTGGGGTGAGACTTTGAAACACCTTGAACACCATGCCCAGGAGTTTGAACTTCTCTTTCTGGTGTGGTGGCAAGGGCAGTAGGAACCTTGGGGACCAGAGGCCTGCAGGTAGAAGGGACGAGCTATTGTGGTCACCGGCAGGAGGCTCAGGTTCTGAGCAAACACTGGCAGTGGGAGGGTGGGGTAGCCATAGTCTAGAGGACTTGGTCATTTAAAACAGAAACGAGGGAGGTGGAGATATTAGGACTCCTGAGTTTTCTAGCTAAGCCAACAAAGATAGAAAATGAAGAACAAGTTTGGGTGGAAATGTGTTGTCATGGCTGGACAGGTTGTATTTTTTTTGTTTTGTTTTGTTTTGAAATATGTTTCTATTGATTTTTTTTATAGAGAGGAAGGGAGAGGGATAGAGAGCGAGAAACATTGATGAGAGAGAAACATTGATCAGCTGCCTCCTGCACACCTCCTACGGGGGATGTGCCTGCAACCAAGGTACATGCCCTTGACCGGGATCGAACCTGGGACCCTTAAGTCCGCAGGCCAATGCTCTATCCACTGAGCCAAACCAGTTAGGGTGACAGGTTGCGTTTTGAGGTATAAATGGGATCCCCAGGGGGAGAGTCCATCAGACAGCTGACAGCGCACATGGGAGCCAGATAGGGGGTCTTCTCCCCATTTTCCAGGAGAGGAATTGAGGCTCAGTGAAGGTCTGGCTTGCCCAAGGTCACACTGCTGCCTAGTGGAGGAAGTGCAGGACTTGAACTTGCACTTATAGAACCCTGCTCCCTTCTGAGAGGGAGCTGAGGGGCCTTTCACCTCAGGCAGAGGAGGGAGGAGGGCCGCCGCTGGGGTCCTCGGGCCTAGAGAAAGAGTGTATTAGGAGCCAGACCACGCTGGAGTCCAGGCAGTGGGGACTGGAAGCTTCTGCTCTGCTGGCAGGACCCAGAACACCTGTTTGAGACCATCTCCCAAGCCATGCTGAACGCCGTGGACCGGGACGCGGTTTCGGGCATGGGGGTCATCGTCCACGTCATGTGAGTACGAGCTGCGAGTCCGGAGCTTTGCAGACACTTCCCTCCCCCTCCCGCACAAACACCCCGTCCCAGCCCCGGCAGATGCGGGACAGAAGTCCTAAAGGTGGCAGCTGGGAGCCTCCCCAGGTTCCCCTAGTCCGTCAGGTGAGGCTCCAGGACCCTGAGACTCCCCTGTTCACAGCAGGTATTTCTTTCTCCCTTTAAGTGCCCCCAAACCTCAGGGACCTTGTGGTGATGAGCCACAGCAGTGCCACTGCAGACAGATTGAAATACTGGGTGGCTCCCCATCTCCCCAGTTCCCACCAGTGTGGGACTCCATGTGTGAACTCTTTTCCTGCCCTATGAGCGCCATCCCCTTTTTCCTCTTACTTGTTTGGGGCTGTCACCAGGAACCTAACTGGATGGCCTAGGTGTCCTCCCAGCTGCTTCCCTTCGGTACAACCCAGAACAGTATCTGGGCCCTTTGTTGTGGGAGAGCCTGCTCAGTCACCATGGAAAGCAGACGGGACTAACGGAGGATGTTCTGTCCATCCGTGACACCCATCACGTGTCCTTCCTAGGTTGCTTGTTCTCTAGGCCTGGGGCAGCCTTCCTTTCTTCGGAGGGCTTCTCAGTCCTGCCCTGAACCATCTCAGCTCCTGACGGTCCCACCCATGGGGAGCTCCCACCAGTTTCCCCACCTCTCCCTCTCCCCTCCCTCAGCACAGGCCGGGAGACAGGCAGACAATAATGTACGCGAGCGAAACGGTTAAACCCAGTTAGGACGCCCCTTGTTCTGGTCTCATGGTCTTCTCCCTCCGCAGTGAGAAGGACAAAATCACCACCAGGACCCTGAAGGCCCGAATGGATTAACTCCCGTTTCCAGAGCCCACTGTTTTTTGTCTTTTTTTTTTTTTTTTAAGTAAATGTTTTTCTTTCACTCCTGTTTCTTTGATCTCTGTCCCCAGCTAGGAAGTTACAAACAGCTACTCAGGGTCTAGCTCAGCCCGCAGGGGGTTTTGACTTAACAGCATCTCCACCGGTATACCCGAGGGGGTAATGTCTACACATCATTTGAGTGCCTGTTACAGGCCCTGCACAAAGTGCTTTACACATTTTGGTATTTAATCATGACGAAGGTAGTTAAATAACGTGTGCAGGGCCACTTCAGTAAGTGATGGTGCAAAGGGGTAAAAACCCCCATTCTGTTTGCTTTCAAAGACTAGACTCCTTTTCACTCAATAGAAACCCCTTAAATCTCTTCTCGTCGTTTCCGGTAGAAATTGGCCGGTACCCACCAGTACTGTTCTGTAGACCCGTGTTTCTGAGCCTCGGCTGCACATTAGTCACCTGGGGAGCTTCTAAAACGTACTTTGATCCCATCCCTCAAGATTCTTATTTAATTGGTCTTTTAAAGGGGCCTGAGCACCTGACTTTTCTGAGTTCCCCAAATGAGAGAGTCTATGGGCGGGTACAACACACAGGTACTTGTTCAAAGCCAGCCTTGCAGCTGGTGTGCCGGAGGGAGGGCGGGTCTGCCCTTTCTCCGTGTGCGTGGGAATGACACTCACAGACCAGCTCCGGGGCCCTGCTCTTAACCACATCTGAAAGTGGGTGACCAGAAGTGAGTCCTTCTCCAAACTCAAGCCATACATTAATTTAGCCCAAGCAGCCTCTGACACGGACTACAACCTTTTAATTAAGAAAAAGAAATGGACTGAAAGGCTCATTTCCAAAGGACTCACACGTAACAGATGTGTACACAAAGCTTTTTAAGTTTTATTTTCCTCGGGTTGAAGATTCATCGTAACACGCATGCATTTTAAAACAGTAACAGGGTCTCGAACTGTTCCGAGCAGACATTAGACAAGCACAGGGGCTGAAAATTCCTATTTAAAAATGGAAATTGCAGTGGGGAATGGAGGTCACACACACATGGCGGGGTGATTGATAGTTTATCCTGTTCCCCCCTGCAACTGAATCTAGACTTAATTCACATTTTTTATTATAATGACCAGACCTGATGCTTGGGTGTACTGAGCACCACCAGGCCTTCCCCCAAAGGTGGTTGGTTCCTACTTCCCCCTGTGCAAGAGGAAGGGGCTGCTCTGGAAGATTCCTCTCCAGCCTCCGGGATCTCAGCACCACCCACTGGGTAAGCCACGTCTTCCCTTTGGAGGCCCCCTCATGAGCGCCCTGGCCCCGCCCCCTCCAGACCGTGCAGATGGCTGGTACATCGAGGGACAGTTACTTGAATGTTTTCCCTTTGATTCCTGTGCTGAGAGTGGACTCGCCCTCCACACGTTTCTGACGGAAAGAGGTGAGGTCCCTTGACTTGGGAGACCTGTGCTGAGGGAGGCCAGGGCTCTAAGGGTTGTTTCAACACTCCAGCCCCTAACGTTTTAGTACAATAGCTCAAATGCTGGGGAGTGCCGAGTTCTTTTTTCCAACGGGGACTGGTAAAGAGACAACTGGGGGTGGGACTGGCTACTGAGGAAAATCCTGGGTCTTTGGTTCACCTCCCCAGGGCAGATCTAGGGCAGGGGGCTGCAGGCCCCAGTCCGGAGTACTCCCAGGGGCCTGCCTGAGGCCGAACGCACAGGCCAGAGGAACAAGGGGACTAGGAAGAGCTGCCTGTGACGGGAACTGGGGGGGTGCTGCTGAGAATAGCCCAGACCAGAGCTCCTGAGCAAGGGGTGATGGAGCACTGCTCCAGCTGTGCTCCCGGGCTGCGGGCTTCCCAGCCCTCCCATTACTCCCACTGTGGGCATGGGAAGGAGCTCCCACTGGGAGGATAAGACTCAGTGGTTCATGAACAGGAACAAGGGCCAGAGGCCTTCAGCTAGTAGTCTCAGTGGAGTTTTCAGAAAACCCCTCGTTTTGGCTGGGAAACCTGGAGACTAGTCTCTTATCTGTAGCCTTTCGGAACAGGTGCAGGATAGGAGAGACTGGGATATGAATCTTGCCCTTCAGACCTCACCAGTCAGCCACGTCCTATTCTTATACCTCTGCTCTTGGGAGACCCAAAACTCCTCTAGGATGCCACGAGGCAGCTGAGTTTCATAGCTCCAGGGAGTGAGGTTGAGGGTCGTTACATCCCCTCAGCAGGTAATGGCGGGATTTGGGGAAGAAAAGTGGGGACAGACAAAAGCTTGGGGATCAGTTCACTTTCTCTACATTCAGACTGCAAACCAAATATAGTATCTTCATCATTACAAAAAGAAGAGAAAGAAAACTTGCATAAACCAAGATAAATAGCTTTTAAACATTTGAATGCCAAAAGAATTAGAGGGCCAAACCCAAGGTTTTGAAAATAGCACAGAATGACCTTTAAAAAAATCTACAATTCACCAAACCACAGCTTAATGTTCTGACCCAATCAACAACACTCAGAAACACAAAGAGCATTTGCAATAGGGTGCTACCTCTCAAAATGTAAACAATATACAAAAAATAAACCGCACAAAATCACAAAACTCAATGTTAAGTCAGATACTCGGTAGCTCATCTTTCACTGATAGGATTATTACATAATTCATACACATCATGGCAATAAGATCAGACCAAATGCAGGGAGCCCGAGGCTATGGAGGCTGCTGGGAGCCAGCCTGCCAGCCTTTGGAGATGCTGGGCCTATGAGCAGATCCAAATCTCTATTCTTGATTAGAAGGTGGGAAATCAAGTCCAAACATCATTCCTATAGAATCCCTAAGTCAGTTTGTTTTCTCCATGTGCCATTTGGTTTCAAGTCCTTGTTCCAGTCCCTTTGTGGTCTTACTGCCGATGCTCAGAGTTCCCTACAGGCCCTTCCTGGGCCCAGGGCAGATGTTTGGCCCATCTGCTTCTTCCAGAGGAGTCCAGAATGCTGTCTCTGTTCCCTCCTGACCTAAAGCTGCAGGTAGGGCAGAGATGGTGACGGTTCCTGCTCCAGAGGCTGAGCTTGACCAAGTTTGGAAGGACCATAGGAAACCAATCCATTCATTCCAAATGCTTCCACAAACTTCCTTCGAATCTGTGTTTTGCCATATCTCCAACTAAATCCCCCGTTCCTGGTGAGGGGTTGAGACGATATGGAAATGTACCTCCCCAGCACAGGGCTGTTTTCTCTGCTAGCTGGACCAGACAGCTCTGATGTCACCACAGAATAACAGCTCAATTCTGAGGCCTGGATAGCAAGGCAAAGGTGGGAGAGAGCCTGAAGGAAGCCGCAGGGTGCCACTCCTGAGGAAGCCTGTAGGTGGCAGATCTGTTAGCAATCAAGATGGGGCATCAAGGAAAAACAGCCCGAGGGTGGATCCAAATCCACTCCCACCTCAAGCCTCTGCATTGGATTAGGTGGTCACATCCTCACGTGATCCAAGAACGACCTCAGGCTTGGGCACCACATCCAGGCGGGAGGCATCCCTCCCTGCTGGCCGCAACATCCCGATGGCAAACCCAGGCCATGGAGTCACACCTACAGGGCAGCCCTGGGAGCCCAGGCGAACCTCAGCAAGGAGCACCCAGGCACCTGGAGATCTGCCCCAGCTGCCAGCTCGCCTAAAGTGAGGCGCCTGGGCAAAGGTCACAGGAAGTAAGTGGGCGGAGGGCACAAGCCCTCGTTGGATACTCTTCAGCTTCTGGGGTTTCTCCAAGAGGAAGAAAGGGTCCTTGCTTGTTCCTCTTGACCACGTGGGAGGCAGGTTTTACGGAGAAGACGTCTGACCTCCAGGGGCCCAGAGCCAGCGGCTGAGCGGTGACCCAGCAGCCCCCCCCTCGCCAGCCCAGGAGGATGAACTCGCTCCCTCCGAGAGCTTTGATTCTGATCCAAAATGACCAGGGACCTGGAGTGTTCGGTCAGGAGGACAGCGTTCAGGATCCGAGGAGGAAAGGTGAAGGAGGCTGTGCACAATCCTTCGTCAAACTGAAAGTTCCCCGAGGAGGAGGCGTCTGACCTCTCCTCCGGTGTCAGCCCTCAGCTGAGGGGACCCTGGGCGGGTCTGGAAGGTACCCCTGTAACTGAAGGGACTACGGCAGGATGGGAGGTGGACAGGGTGATGACATACATCATTATAAAGAGCAAACCGAGGGCAATGAAATTTCAGAAAAACCCAAATAAACCCACAGTCACCTCTCGCCCCATGGCGTTTTAAAGGCTACAAGGTGACAAAAAGGGAACCCCTTTTAGCCTGGGTCAACGGGATGGGGGAGTCAAAGGTAAGAAGGAGGTGAGGCCACATCCTGTGAGCATGAGCACACAGCACATCCCCCTCCCCAGAACCGTTCAGTGTCACAGGCTGCAGTCTCACTGCTAACGCCCTCCCCGGCCCCCCACTCTGCTCCCACCCCTCCATCTAGCCCAAATACACCCTCTCCCCCTTCGGATCCCCAACCCCGTATCTCATTCTCTGGCTGTGGCTGAAGGCAGAAGGTCACTACGTCAGGATGTTGGACATGAACTCATTGAAGCGCTTGGAGTACTGCTCAGGGTTCACAGTCGAGATCTCGGCCCCTGCCTGCAATACAGAGATCAATTCAGGCCCAGCTCCTTGGCCCTCAGAAGTAGCTGCTCCTGGGACGAGCTTGGGTGTTCAGGAGCCTCTAGATCAGCATTAGAGCTGAATCCAACCCCATGGACGGGGCAGGCCACAAAGAGAGGGGGCAGCTATGTCTCAGAATTGCCCCGGCCCCTCTGATTTCCAACCTCAGGAATGCACCCACTGAAGCAGAGGCAAGTGGTAGGAGGTAGCAGAGAGCCTCCTGACCTCTGGGAGCTGCTGTTTGGAGAAGAGTGGCTGGAAGCCTCTGGGGCGCAGTGCGGACAGGTAAACAGCCATTACCGGCATCAACAAACGCACTGCATGCCCAGCAGCCCTGGGAGAGGCACCAGGGGCCGCAGAGTCCCGAGGGCCAGAGAACAAAGGGGAAAACAAGTTGGCATATTATCCAGGGAGGAATACAGATGGCAGAGAACGAACACCAGGCAACCTGGCAGGCTGCGCTTCCTGTCCCCTGCCCTGGGAGAGGGGCACGGGGGTGTCTCCTTAGAGCAGGAGGCCTGAGAGGCGGGGGCCGCCCGCTGGGAGAACTCACCCCATGTTTCACTGTTTTGGCTGCATGTGCAGCTTTCTTCTTAGCGTCGTATGGTGTGAGGATATCAATGATGGCCATGAAGTAGACCTCCTTCTTGGGGGAACCTGGAGGTGAAACGAGGAGGAGGAGGTGGCAGAGAGAAGAGCAGCAAGTAGCTGGGTCCATAACCCTTCAGATGTGAGATCCAGGTCGATCCCTACCATTTTGGATCTGGGGGGGGAAATGGCTAATGGAATCCTCAGAAGCTTTCATAGTTTTTAAAAATTATTATCATCGATTCCATAGAGAGCTCAGAAGAGAGACAAACATCAAAGTATGAGAGAAACATCGATCAGCCACCTGACTAGGAATCAAACCCTCCACCTTCTAGTGTATGAGACCACCCTCCAACCAATTGAGGATTCCATATCATCTCTCTCATCGTATTTGATCTTCACAGCTCCCTGTGGGTTAACATGAGAGTATTTATAAAGTTTTATTTGTCCCATGAGTCAGAGAACTATGCCCCAAACATCCAGGACAAGCAGAGATGGTAAGAAAGCCCAACAGAGAAGAACCCCCGGCCCAGAGGACAGAGTTACTGCTCATGACTCAGTGTGGAGCCTGGGGGCACAAAGAGACCCAGCTCAGCGATTATTGAATGAAGTGGAAACCCAGACCCACACAGAAGCTAAACAGCGGGCCAGTGGGCAGGAGGAGAGCCCGAGTGGGCAGGGAGCACAGGCTCCTACTTACTTTCATGGCTCTTCATGGCATACACGTCAACAGAGGGATCGAACTCCCCGGGGCCGAAGAACCGCGGGAAGCTGAGCAGGTTGCCAGGGCTGTCCGGCGGCGTGCCGTACGAGCAGATCAGGTTGCCCATCCCGTCGTTCTCACACTCCTCGTCCTCCGCCCGCTCCTCCACCTCCATCTCCTCCTGCTCTGCCCGGTCCACATCGTGGATGCCCACCAGCAGGCTGTAGTCCATGATCTTCAGCTGGGCCAGAAACTAGGAGAAGGAAGGCAGAAGTTACGCAGGACACCGCAGTGGCATCTGGAAAGGGGAGGAAACATTCCTTTCAGCTCGGCTCTCCAATCTGGAAACCCGAGGACGAGACCTCAGTCTCCGTGCTCCATGGGGAAGACGGTCATCCACAGGGCCCGCAGCTGCGGTGTCCACAGCAGCGGAGAGGGCCGCCCGGGAGTGGGTGAGACAGCCTGGCGGACGCGGAAGAGTCAGGCAGGCAGAGGCTGTGGAGGGAAAGGCGAACGCGCACTGCAGGGAGGGGGGCACAGCGTGCGGTCTGGGATCAGAGGCCGTGGCCAGCGTGAGGAAAGACATGACGGAATGCCACTGTCTTTCAAATCCTGAGTCTCAATCCATTATGATCCTACATCCAATTTAGTGGGCTGAGACTAGGACTTTGAAAATTATTATTAAATACCATCAAATGGGGGGGGGGAAGCTCTGGCCGGGTATCTTAGTTGGTTTGAGGATCTTCCTGATACATCAAGGCTGTGGGTTCGCTCCTCAGGCAGAGCACAATATAAGAAACAACTAATCAATACATAAATAAGTGGAACAACAAATCAATGTTGCTCTCGCTCTCTCCCTCCATTCCGCTCTCTATAAAATGAGTAAAAAAAATTAAAAATATAATGAACAATAGAGTACATAACATGAAGTAAAGCTAGATAGTATTTCATTGTGTGTGCGTGTGTTTTGGGTTTGCAGGTAAAAATGTATCAATATTTCTAATGGGGTAATAGGCAAAGCTTGAAAAAGTATCCAATTCAGCTTTTTTCTGCTCAGGATAAAATGGGGAGAAAATTTAAAGGAAATACAATACAAGAATGACGGAGCCAACCACTCTCCTGAACTCGTCCCTCAAGGTCAAAGGGCTGTGGCGAGGGGGAGGATGCTGCAGCCCGCCCCTCCACTGCGGCTTCCCTTGCCGCTCTCAGTCCCCCATCTGTATGTGCTGTGAGTAGAATGGTGTCTCCGGTCTCCTGATGTAGGACTCCAGGTCTCGGAGGAGAACAAAGAGTGTGGGAATGACACAGGATGGACATGGTCAGCCGGCATTCCAGTCTGGCTAATAGTGAGACCAGAGTCGCTGGTCCAAATCCTCATGAACTAGCCAGCAGCCACCAGCAGCCACATGCCAGGTCACACACTGAGCCTGCAGCACCTTGAACCTGTCTAACTGGCCACTGTGACTAAGGGACTCGGAGGACAATGACAATGGGCCAGAGAGCTCTGCACACAGGCCCAGACACAACTAAAAGCACAAGAAGCCCTGACGACAGAGATCAGCAGAATCTCCTACGGAGAAAGGTGGGGCAGCATTCCAAGCACCTGCACAAAGCTTCTCAAGGCCTGGGGAGAAGGGGCCGGATCCCAGGAGAGAGAGAGTCCCTGAACCGCACCCCCTCCCATCCTCTTGAGAACATTTATAAAGCAACATGTACATGTAAACGAATTCTGTAAACTGCCTTTAAACATTCTTAGGAGCAGAGTAAAGAGAAAAGCAGAAAAGGGAGGAGAGACTGAACAAACTGAACTTCAGAATAAAGGCACAAACATAGTAGGGAATGATGAAGGACAAGCTTCCCAGCAAAAGAAGCCTGTAAGACTCAGGTTCACAGCAGCACTGGTCACAATGAAGCAACTCGAGTGCGATGGTTCATACTATGTGTCAACCTGACTGGGCCACTAGGCGCCCGGACAGGACATTCGCTCAAATGTTATTCTGAGTGTGTCTGTAGGATGCCTATGGACGAACTGACATTTGAGTCAGTACAGTGAGTAAAGGAGATTGCCTTCCCTAAGGTGGGTGGGTCTGAGGCATGAACAGAACAAAACGGAGGACCCTCCAGTGAGTCAAAGGGAACTTCCTCCGCCTGCCCATCAGCTGGGCCATCGGCTTTTCTCTCCAGATGTGGCCTGAAACAGCCACTCCTCCTGGGACTGAGCCTGCCAGACTCCAGACCGAAACAATACCATCTGCCCTCCTGGGGCCCCACCTGGCCAACTGCGCGTGTTGGGACTTGTCAGGCTCTGTAGTCATGTGAGCCAATTCCTTGTAATAAACGTCTTTCCATCTGTCAATCAATTTATCTATCTACTTACACTCTTCTTGTTCTGTTTCTCTCTGGAGAATCTTAACTAATATACCGAATGTCCACTGGTGGGTAAATGGGTAAACAAAATGCACTCATGCTGTGCACGGCTGGTGGATCTCCAGAGCTGGCTTCCTGTTGCTCTGATGGCCGGTTGCCCCCTCCACCGGGAACCACCAGGAAGGAGTTCTGAAGGAGCCTGAGAAAGGTGTTGGAGCAGATGAGGGAAAGCATTCCAAATGGAAGGTTCATCTGCACCAGCTTTAGGTGCAAATAACCACCCCTCTGCTCCAATCGCCACTCCTCCTTCCGTCTACACTCTTGGGAGGTAGTGAATTCGGTTTTTCTTAAAGAGACTCCTGCTCTGGGGACAAGGGGAGACCCGGCTCGACCGGTGGAAGCGAGTTAATCGGTACCTCTACGTCCCGCTTCAGCTTTTCCAGGAAGTTCTTTTTAGTCTCCTCTCCCACGTGCAGCTTCTGCCCTTCGTTGAGGAAGTCATTGTCTTTAAAAGTTGGCAAGTCCTTGGCCTGGGAGAACAGCAGCAGTGTTAGCCGGGCAGCCTGATTCCTTCACCCCAAGGTCCCTGCTGGGGGCAACGGCAGAGAGGGGGAGGGTCTAGACAGCAGGTGGCCAACAGCGAGGCACAGGAGGCTGCAGCCCAGGCTCCGGGCAGACAGGGACGGCGAGTGTGTCCGACAGGGAGGACTGACAAGCACGCCTTCTTGCTGAGCCCGGGCTAGCGCGGGGGTCAGGCAGCCACCCCCGACCCAGGACGGGCCAGCCCTCCAGGACGACGAAGAGCCCGCAGGCCCGAGCTCAGCGGCTGGAGACCCAGGCGAGGCCGAGGCCGGGCAGAGCTCAGTGACGCCGCGCTCCGGCAGCCGGCGTCTGGGAAGTGGACTAGGGGCTGAGATGGAGGAGGGGGCGGGACGGCCAACAAGTGTTTCGCATTCCAAGCAACCCATTCCCCACGCGATCAGCACTGGCCCCAGCTTACCTTCTCCTTGTCACTCGCTTCTCTGGCGACAGTAGAACCCTGAAAGGATAAGAGCCATCAGGAGTCCGGCTGAGGCAAATTCCGCCGAGCGGGGACCATGCCCAGTCTTTGGGGAGAGGCAGCAGGTGAGGGAAGCAGGTAGTTAGAATCCTAGAGGGGCCGGGAGGCAGCGGCTTGCTCACTTCCTCTGTCACCGACCGCTCCCAGACTCTATGTCCACGTCCTGCTCAGGAGACAGGACTGTGCCAGGCGTCTCAGTGCCTGCCCTGGGGGAACTTCCCCTCCAACAGGCAGGCAGGCAGGAAGCGGTAGCTGTACAATGAATGAGCCCGCTAACCACCGTGGTGCTGAGTGGTACCGAGAGGACACAGGGAGAGCCCAAAGCACAGGGAGGGACCTGGACTGGAGAGGGCCGGTGGCCAAGGCCTGCTTCCAGAAACAAGCGATACCTGAGCTGAGCTCAGAGGGGGTGCAGGAAGTAATTAGGTGGGGGAAGGGGGAGGCAGAGAAAGGGCAGGGAGGGAAATAACTCAGGCCGCCGTGTGGACCTGGGGGGGGGGGGGGCACAGACTGCAGGGCTGGGCCCGAAACCAGTGCCGCTGCCGCAGGGAGGCAGTGGAGCAAGGCAGCTGGTGAAGTCAGAGTGAGGTGTAAGAACAGCGAGTGCTGTGGCTCGCAGGCCGTGTGCTGCCTTCAGTGCCTAGAAACGCACTTGTGCTGTCAGTCCACGGGGCCTGGACAGATGCCTGTCCCATCCCACTGCCAGGAGTCACAGAGCATCCATCTCTCTCTATAAAAGCTTAAGCAAACAGCTGACTGGCCGACCAGCCAGTGCTATGACATGCACTGACCGCCAGTCACTTGGCAGCTGCAGTGTTTGGGTGATGCACCGGAACCAGAGAGGAAGTAAGTCCAATTTGGGGTACGTCACCCAAGAACCACCCTCTCACAATTCAGGACTCCTTGGGGGATGTCGGAGAGCCGGTTTTGGCAGAATCCCTGCCAGCCAGGCAGAGGGACCCCACCAGTGCATGAATCTGCGCCCCGGGCCTCTAGTTGTTACATAAATGTGGTGCAGGGGGGCTTAAGTGACCTCCTGTCACTGTCACCTGGACTTCACACAGCCTGTGGCCCACAAGAATTAGACAATCAGCGCCAGAGCCACCTGTCCGTGCAGCATATGCTCTGGCTTCCCCCTTACGTGGCAGCTGGAATGGTGGTGCTCCCGGGCCCCGGGGGAGAGCAGCCACTGAGCTGGGAAGCGCAGAGCCCTTTACCTTGAGGTCATACTTGCGGTGTACAGTGAGCCGATGGCTGAACACGTTCCTGGTGACCACCATGTAGGTCTCCACGCCGTCCACGGTCAGGCGGTACATGCCCAGGAACTGTGGCAGGAGGGTGTTGCCGTGGCACTCCACGATGAACTAGAGGGAAGGCGGGAGGCTCAGGAGCGCAGGAAGGTGCCGGGATGGACGGGCTCTCCCAGGCTCAGACGCTGCCTGCCTGGGATTCTAAACTGTGTTACGTGAAGTCACCGGGTTCCTGAGACTTACAGCAGGCAGCAGCCACCCCCACCCTCAACGGGCTAACAGAGCGAGGGGCGGAGCCGGCGGTGCAGGGCCCGTGGGTTTATGTTGCTGGGGCTCCTCCGTAGGAAAACCACCGGTCTAGGCCGGCATCTCCTCTGCGGCTGCAGTGGGAGCTGCAGAAGCCGCTGTGATCGGGCCGTCTGGGAAAACAAGGCTCCCCACAAGCTCTCACCCGGCCACGCCCCAACTGTAACTCCGTCCCTGTCACCACTTCTCCGGTGCCTTGTTTGCACGCACATAAGCATAACCAACGGACACAGCCGCCAGGCAGTGAGGGCATGAGCGGGGGGTGAGGGGGGGGGAGCACGGGGGGTTGAGGACACATGTAATACCTTAATCAATAAAGAAAACAAACAAAGAAGCGGCTGTTCAACTGGGACAGAGCCAAGAACATGCCTTCGTCCTTCCCTTTCAATCCCTCCTCGCAGACACGGTACCAGGAGGCCCAGTGCTCGGGGATCAGGAAGCATCTGCTGTCACCAGAGGACCCCTCTCCCCCGGCTCCCTCCCTCCTCAGCCCACCCTCCGCGTCAGGCTCGGGACTCACCATACCTGGTGGTACTTCTTTAGGATGTTGTGCATCTCGGCCACGTCCTCGCTGGAGACCGTCTTGATGACAAAGCGCCGGTCGTAGGTGGTGAGGAAGCGAGTGCCACACCGGCCCTGGCTGTCGCTGTTGATGGGGGCGCTGCGTGTCACCGAGTTCTGAGGGACCAAGACAGAGCGAGCCGGGCTTGGGAGGGGGTCGGGACTCTGACGCTGCGGCTTCTGCGATGGGCCGTTGCTCCAAAGCCACGACACTGAGAAGATGGGACCTTCCTTGCCCTTTTACTCCCGGGAAGGTCATCTCTCCCCCCAAAGTCTTCCTTACGAGTGACAAGAGCTGGTGCCAATCTTTGACTGGGGTGGGAAGAGGGCTTACTGTGAAATGCTCCCTTTATTTCTGATCCCGGACAGCTACCCACGACGTCAGGGACTCGCAGGTGATGTGACCCCTCAACTCCTCTGCTCCCCAGCTTCCTCACGGGAACACCAGGAGGCAGAGCGAAGTGACGTTCCCGGTCTCTTAGGGCAGGCTTTTCTGGTCTGTACCTGCTCCTCCTCCAGGTCCCCTCCCATTAGGGTCAGAGAGCTGTGGGGGCCTCAAGAAGAGCAGGGGAAGGTGAGGCAAACAAAGGGGGTGTGTTCACCAACAGACCCTGGGAAAGGCCTTTGGGAGCAAGGCAGGCAGGGAAATGCCGAGAAGACACAGAGTGATCTGCTCACAGAAGCCTCTCCTCTCTCACCTGGGACCCGACTCTACCTTCACCTGAAGCCTTCTCACGAGAAGGGAGCACCACGAAAGCCTAAAGTGGGGAGGGGCTCTCTAGACTAAAGGAGCACCCCCAAAGCAGGATGTCCCCGGCCCAGGTTACGTGCCTGAGGGCCCCGCTCTCCCCGCCTGGTCCTTCTACCAGGAAGACGGAGAGGCCTCAGTCCCAGGGGAAAGACTACCTGCACCCTGGCCTCTTTTCAGGCAGCATCTTCTGACTCTAAGTCATTGGCAGTCCTAGAGTCCCTCACAGAACACCACCCTCCCTGCCCCATTTCAGTTGTGAGCACAATCATTTGCCCACAAGGCTATTAGAGAAAAAATGCAGACACTGAGAGGATCTGGTTAGATGGCCAAGGGGAGGGGGAGGAGCCACAGTGAAAGGAAGAGGTCCGAGCAGGTTACCTGGGTTGCGACTATGGCAAGAAGTTTCCGGAAAGTCTCGGGCTGCAATCAGGTCATTATTTCATTTAAGGTTTGTTCCTAGCCGCGGGGGTGGGGGACATCCCAGTACCTCTCAGACCTTCCTGCTTGCCCAAGCCCCTGGCATCTCCTCTCTCTCCCCCTCTCCCCCTCCACAGGACACACCTCTTTGCAGGAGGCCTTCAGCATGGAGGAAAGAGGGGCAGGAGGATTCATGGAGGAGAGAGGGAGGAAGACTCACGCTCTGCTTGTCCTGGGAAAGGCTGACAGGGAGGGGGGTGGAAGGGTTCGTGTTTTAAAAGCCTGGGGCAGCCAAAACCGGTTTGGCTCGTCAGTCTCCGGACTGAAAGGTTCCAGGTGCGATTCCAGTCAAGGGCATATACTTTGGTTGCTGGCACATCTCCACTAGGGGGTGTGCAAGAGGCAGCTGATCAATGATTCTCATTGATGTTTCCAACTCTCTATCCCTCTCTCTTCCTCTCTGTAAAAAATCAATAAAATATATAGCCGAAACTGGTTTGGCTCAGTGGATAGAGTGTCGGCCTGCAGACTGAAGAGTCCCAGGTTCGATTCCAGTCAAGGGCATGTACCTTGGTTGCGGGCACATCCCCAGTAGGGGGTGTGCAAGAGGCAGCTGATTGATGATTCTCTCTCATCGATGTTTCTAACTATCTATCTCCCTCTCTTCCTCTCTGTAAAAAATCAATAAAATATATATTTTTTTAAATTAAAAAAAATATATATAAAAGCCTGGGGCGTCCGTTTTAGATTTCCCCAGGCTGTGCACTCCTTTCCCCGACAATGGGAAGTCAGCCAAAGGTCTTCCTGCTACGGAAGTGAAGGGGATTCTCCACCACAGGCTGTCTCCCGAGGGAGGAAGGTCCAGGGAAGGTGCTAGGTGGGGAAGGGACAGAAACCACAGCTGTAGTTACACTAAAATGTCCCTGATGTTGGGATTCATTCCCCCCAATGGGACAAAGGGGGCAGTTTCCTGCCATGCCTTGCCCCCTCCCAACATCAGGACAGGGGACAAGGTTAGGAGGCGGCACTCCAGCCTGGCAAGAGATTACATCTTCCTTTTCTAATCTGTCTACGTGCTTTAAGCAGCCTCCTCTCCCGCTGGCAACAATTCTCTCCCTTTTAGGTCGAATTATGAAGGAGAAGGCTTCTTCAGTCTCCACTGGGATGTCAGACTAACAGGAAGCAGCTTCTGCAGTCCCTCTCCCTCCCTCCCCCACTCCCAAGGCCCTCACCCCTCCAAGAGCCACCGACACAGAGAAAAGACTGCCTGGGCTGGAGAGCAGCAGGACAGGGGGACACAGCCAGGAAAGGCCGACACGTCTCTGCGTGTCCTGGGGCTTCCTGGCCCCACGCCGCCTGCCAATCCTGCCAAGAGGCGTGTACCTGGTAATCCTGGTCGTCAATCCCAAACCTCTCCCGGAGGTTCCGGAACACCATGGGGCAGTACTCCTTAAACTTGAAGCGGCTGGGCAGGTTCTCCCTGGGAAAAGCAGAGGCAGGCCTTTGTGAACATCTTAACTCTCACCTCAGAACTCAGAGTGTGGTCCATGGGCCACCGGGATCTGAACAGTCCGCCGGGCTTAAAATGTAGGGTTCTAGCCTCCAGAGATTCAGGAGGTGAGCCTGGAAAGCTGCTTTTTTAAATTCGCTTTTTTAAAATATATTTTTATTAATTTCAGAGAGAAAGGAAGAGGGAGAGAGACAGAAACATTGATGAGAGAAAAACATCAACATCCACTGGCTGCCTCCGGTACGCCCCAGCTTCTAGAATAAGATGATGTTATTACTATGGCAGAAAGAGGTCACTAAGGGACAATTTCAAATCAAGCTTCTCCTCCCAGCTAACAGTCAGAGACGACTGGTGAGTGACAGAGCCCAGCGGGTGAGGTGGTGAGGACTGTGGAACAGTGAGAGTGGAACCAGGATTCAAATGCAGAAAGGAAGCGAGTGTGAGCAGCAAACAGTTTCTGGGGTGACTCATCTATCTATCTGTGTGTGTGTGTGTGTGTGTGTGTGTGTGTGTGTGTATGCCTAACATGCAAATTTCCCCTCAGGAGTTCAACTTGGAGACCTGGAGTTCGATTTCTTGCTATGATGGGCGCTGACCACCAGGGGGCGATGAAGAAAGAAGGAGGGCCCCAGCCAGCAGCTGGAAGAAAGGTCCCGATTGGCCCTGATAGCAGGCCAGGCCTAGGGTCCCTACCCATGCATGAATTTCGTGCCCCAGGCCTCTAATAGGATAAAAAGCAAGGTCTCCAAAGGGCTTAGAGTAGACCCCAATCTGTGCCAGGCTTCAACAAAGCCTGAGACAACCTTCAGGCCCCAGTGTCAATCCAAGAAGCCACAAGGAACGAAAGTGAGAATTACTGTGGATAGCGCCCTCAGGCCCTGTGCTCAGCCTGCAGACCACACAAAGCTGGAGAGAAAACAGCTTGGGTGCATCCCAGGCCAGAATCATGGCAGGCAGCTTCTTGCCTCAGACTAAGATCAAGATAGGGCCACTACTTTCAGCCTCAAACTAGACAGCTCAGCCCTGAGCAGCTCACTTCTTACCCTGGCCCTGGATGAATCACCGGGGCAGGCCCATGCCCTCCGGGGCACTGGAGGTAGCTGATAAGGGAGTGAGATGACAAGACAACTGGGAGAGAGGCCGTAATGAATGCCTTTCTCCAGCCAGCTTTTCAGCTCGGTGACCCGGGTGTCCCTGCTACACCCTGCCAGGTGCGGGCGGCCCCGCCTCACACAGGTTTCAGCAGCTCTCTGCTTTACGGGAAAGGATTGCCCACACAACCTGAGTCCACTCAAGAGGCAACTTACTTGTTGAAGAGATGGTTGTCCACCTTGATCTTGCTGTATGCTTTGAAGTCATCTGGCATCAGCATGACGGGAACAGGGACATTGCTCAGCTCATTGATCTGCAAAGCAAAGGGAGAGTGAGGCCCGCAGCTCAGAGGCCTCCTGCCTCAGACAGACAATGTGCCGCCATGTGGATGCCACCATCTCACCATAAACATGCTCATGGATTCCCTCCTTGTCTTCGTTTCTGCTCTTCTCTTCCCAACCTCATCTCCATCTACTGAAATTCTCCCCACCTGACATGGTCCAGCTCACAAGGCGCCTCTTCCATACATCTTTCCACGATTCTAGACCATAAATGTCCTTTCCCGCGTTAGAATTCCCGGTGTCCCTCTTTTGGCCATCTCACAGCCTCCCTCGTTTGTAGTTAATGCTTATTAACCTCCTAAGTCTGTTAGACCATAACCTAGGCAAGACGGTAGTATTGATCTTTGTAAGCAAATACCATCTCACTGATCTTTGGGGGCTCTATAGTACTTGGCCCAGGATGTACTACATAAATATTTGTCAATGCAATGATGGATCAATGAGTAAATGTCACCCAACCTACGTGAGTATTGAGGCCTCTGAACATCTTCATACAAATTGTGGGTCTCTCAAGAAATCAGCGTAGGCCCTGGCCAGGTAGCTCAGGAGTTTGGAGCACTATCCCAAAGTGCCAAGGCTCCGGGTTCAATCCCAGTCAGGGCACATACAGGAATCAACCAATGAATGTATAAATAAGTGGAAAATGCCCCCCCACGCACACACACACATTTTTTTTTTCTCTGAGAGGGGGGGGGGGTAATCAGCTAGGGCAGGAAAAGAACTGGGCGTATAACTCATCTCCAAAGTAAAGGCTTCAATTCACAGTGAGCAGAAGAGGTAGAGATATCTGGCCACTGGCTCACTCTGACTCTCTGATTAAAGCAGGGCCAGTTCTTAAAGCGGTGTCCTGCCTTATGATAACTGGGGGAGGGGGGGCCGCGATGGAGGGGTGCTTTGCCCCCACTGCAAGCGTACCTTCTCATTGTCTTTCCTCCCTCTTGGGGAGCTGCCGCTGGGACAGGGCACTGGCTTCCATTGGTGCAGGACCGAGGGCAACCCCTTGGCTTCCCCAGTCCCAGTTTGCCAATTAGTGGGCTAATTAGCCCCAGATGTCCTCTCCCATCACAGCAGAGCATTTGACATTTGACCCTCAACCCAGTTGCCACTAATGCATTCAGGATTTACGGCGGAAACCTCAGTCCTGACTTAATGGATAGCGGGGAGGGAGGGCATGGCCTGGGTCTCCCGGATCCTTCCCTTGCAAATCCCATTATGTCCATGAGGCCCCATGTGGCAATGAGGGGATAACCTGGAGTCATTAATTAGGGCTCCCCAGAACCATAAATGGGGGGAAATGGCATTTAATTTCCTGCCCCTTTTATGTTCCAAACCATTTTATTTGGAAATCTCTGAAGATAGAGGAAGTTCAAGTTAATGCAGTAACTGGGCTGGTGAATGAGACCTTCCTGGAGCTGGTGGAGTATCCAATGGACATGTGGGGAGATTAAGAAAGGCAGAGAGCGGCCGGGACTGGTTGGCTCAATGGATAGAGCGTCAGCTTGGGGACTGAAGGGTCCCGGGTTCGAGTCCGGTCAAGGGCATGTACCTTGGTTGTGGGCATATCCCCAGTAGGGGGTGTGCAAGAGGCAGCTGATCGATGACTCATCGATGTTTCTAACTCTCTCTCTCTCTCCCTTCCTCTCTGTATAAAAATCAATAAAATATATAAAAATAAATAAATAAATAAAAAGGAAGGCAGAGAGCGTATGGGAAGGAGGGACAGTAGGGCAGTGAGAACTGACCCGCACAGGTACAGGAGTATATACTGTATGCTCTGTTCATATGAAGTTCTAGAACAGCATCCAGCTCTGTGATGCCTGCCATTGGCTAACAGGCCACACACACACACACACACACACACACACAGCCACGCCAGTCCCCACTCCGAGGGGTGTGCAGGGAACCTGATTGTGTGCCTACGGAGGAAACCGTTCCACTTCCTTGCTTTTCTGCCAACAGAAACAATTCATGGTAGCTGTCCCACTTCCTTTTTCCTGGCATAGTAAGCTTGGCTCTGAGAGTTAAAGGAGTTCACGGCTCTTAGGCAATTCTGCCTTTCCTAGCTCATAGCATCATGCTAGAAAGAACGTACCACTGGCTCAAAGAGTATGCTTTTACACCAAAATGTCCTAGCATGTGCAGCTGATTGACTCTGGGTTGGTCTAATGTCCAAGCTGGGTGCCAAGGCCGGAGCTGGATCACCGAGAGCTAAACAAGACAGCGTTTGCCTGAGAGCGTCAATGGCCCTGCAGCCAGGGTGAAATGCTCTAACAGGAGCTATCCAGGAATGCGCTCTCTCCAATCCTCTCTGTAACTCTTGGGGAGGCATAGTTTGAATGGTTGTTAAGCTGGTTAGTTTTTGGCGCTCATTCCCTCTCTATTCTTGACTACACAACCTACCAGTGGGAAATCTCTGAGATAATATATTGGTCAACAATCCACACATCTGAACTATGTAGATTCACCCCTCATTTCCCGGGACCACATGGAGATGATTCACTCACTCTAGGGATTAGCTGTACCTCTTTATTTTAGTTGTGCTAAATTTTTTTGTCCCCCGGGGCCTATTCAATTTCAATGGAACAAGCAGTTACTGAAATACCTACTACATGCTTCACGTGTGTTAGGGAAGAGGGGCCACGCAGTGGGGGAAACGCTGTGCACAATAAGCAGGAGCCGGTCCTCTTCTCAGGGAAAGACAAACCCAGGCTCCAGGGAAAGCGGAAGTCGTATACGAGCCAGTGAGGACGAAGGGACGGGCATCAGGAGCAGCTGGTGCTCAGTCCAGAGAAGGTGAGGTTAGTGTGGGCAGAGGGTAAGACTCCCAGCCTCACACATCAGGCTAGGAACAGGGCACCTCCTGCCCCTTCTGCTACTGCCAAGAGCACTTGACACTGGAAGAATCTACAAGATCCTGTTACAGCCCAGCTTAACTCTCCCCGGGCGCATCACCCTCAGCGCGGCTTTAACTCCTTCCCCTCGAAGGTCGTTCCTGATCTGGCTCTTCAGCTTACTTTTCTACTCAATGTATTGAGGGCTTACTCTAGGCCAGTCCTGTGCCAGGAGCTGGGGACGCAAAAAGGGGAAAGACATATCTCTGTTTAGCTGGGAAGACAGACAAGTAGCTAATACAACGTGAGGATGTGATAGTTATAAATAACGGGAAATGGGAAAACAGATTAAGAAATGATTGATTCGTCCGGCTGATGGCAGACGTAGCTCAGTGGTTGAGCATCAGCCTATGAACCAGGAGGTCACGGTTCAATTCCTAGTCAGGGCACAGGCCCAGGTTGCGGGCTTGATCCCCAGTGTGGGGCATGCAGGAGGCAGCTGATCAATGATTCTTTCTCATCACTGATGTTTCTATCTCTCTCTCCCTCTTCTTTCCTCACTGAAATATATATATATTTTTAGCCCTAACTGGTTTGGCTCAATGAATAGAGCTTCAGCCTGCGGACTGAAAGGTCCCAGGTTCGATTCTGGTCAAGGGCATGTACCTTGGTTGTGGGCACATCCCCAGTGGGGGGGGGGGGGGGTGTGCAGGAGGCAACTGATAACTGATCCAGGTTTCTCTCTCATCAATGTTTCTAACTCTCTATCCCTGTCCCTTCTTCTCTGTAAAAAATCAATAAGTATATATTTAAATATATATATATTAAAAAGAAAAAAAAAAAATGATTGATTCTGCCCTGGTCCAAGTTTCTCAGTGGTTAGAGCATCAGCCCAAGAACCAAAGAGTCTCGGGTTTCATTCCTGGTCAAGGGCACATACCTGGGTTTCAGGTTCAATCCCCAGCCCCTGTTGGGGGGCATGTGGGAGGCAACTAATTGATGTGTCTCTCTCAAATTGATGTTTCTCTGTCTCTTCTCCTCCCTCTTTCCTTTCCACTCTCTCTAAAAATCAATGGAAAAAACATTCACAGGTGAGGATTTAAAAAAAAAATAAGTGACTGATTCTGACTGAAGAGTGAGAGTTGGTTGCTAGAGGAAGTCGGAGAGAAATATACATAAGAAAAGTCTAGAATGGTAAATCTCAAAAAAAAAAAATAATAATAATAAGAGGAAGGGAATTCCAGGCTGTGAGAACAGTCAGAACCAAGCTCAGAGTTGTGCCCGGCCAAGGTGGCTCAGTGGTTGAGCGTTGCCCTATGAACCAGGTCAAGATTCGATTCCCAGTCAGGGCACACGCCTGGCTGATAGACCTGACCGCCCGTAAGGGGTGTGCAGGAGGCAGCCAATCAGTGATTCTCTCTCATCACTGACATTTCTCTCTCTCTCTCCCCCTCTCCCTTCCTCTCTGAAATCAATAAAAAAAATATATATATATATATATATATATATATATATATATATATATGTATATATATACACTTTTAAAAGTAGAAAGATAATACAGGAAAGATAGATGAATGGTCTAACATATTATCAGTTAATAAATAACATCTGCTTCTATTTATTGAATGCCTGTAAATGGCCAGTGCTTTATATTATTGTATATTACATTACGTGTCATAATACATTTATACATTTATATTGTCTTTATTATTTCTATACTTAATAGTTACAAAAGTTATTATTAATTTGATTTTGCAAAAGAGGTTCAAGGTGCCTTGCTCAAGGTCACACAGATAATGTGTGCAGACTCAGGATTTGCTCCCAGGCTTTATGGTGCCAAAGCAGAGAGAAATTACTACTCAAAAGCTAAACCAACATCAGGGGGACAGCCTGGATTTGAACTTCGGCTTGTCCACTAAATGATAAATTTGGACTCAACTACGCAGGCAACGGGAAGTCCTCTCAGGTTCAAGTCTGAGAATTCACGTGATCAGACGGGCGATACAAAAATGTAATTCTGGAATCAAAGTCAAGTAAGGATTGGAAAGGGCAAAAACAATAAGCAGTGTCATTTATGGGGCCATTACAATAGTTTAGGTGACAGACTGTGGCAGCAAGAGTAGAGGAAGGAATAAAGC